GCGATTGAAAATACGAAATGTTGGAATCGCAGTGGGCGCGGTGTGCGCGTGCCTGGGTGAATGGAAGTGGGCGTCGATGATTGCTTGATGGTCGATTGACGAGAATTCATCGAGGATTTAATTACAGGGACGTGCGTGATTTCTTCCACGACAATGACCACGAGCAATTTTTAATTAACACACGTGACAAAGTGGACAAAAATGACGGGTGCCGATCGATGCTTCGCTAACCGCAGGTCTTTGGTTATTCCCGCCTCGTAGTCAACTAACGAAGACGGGAAAGAACAAATTAATTTGCTTCGTCGAAGAGAGTAAAAGATCCTTTCTCTTTTTTCTTCCGTCCCTCCCCCTCTCTCTTATTTTTTTTTTTATTTTTCCGCGCAGAGATTAGAATTTTAAATTTCTATAAAGTTTAGAACTACGTGACCGAAGCGGAAGCCGATTAATTTTTCTGGCGATTTCGTCGAATAAATTTCACGCGCGAGTATTAAATAAAAAGATTAAAATAAAAATTGATCATTGCGAAAGGGTAGGATTTAAATAAATAATATGGGAACGCTTGGGAATGAGCTTTAAAAATATCTCGATGGGAAATGACGATAAAAAATATTGAACGTAACGCGACGTTCATTCTTTTCCATCCATATATATATACATGTATATATATACATATATATATATATAGATATATTGTGTATATTTTACTGCAAATGACATCGTAACGTGTATAAATCCTATTGGTGCACATGTAGGTGACATTTTATAAAACATGGATGAGTCGTGATGTATTACGTAAATATATCGGTAGACTTGGCATGATGGAGGTATTACCAGAAATCCGAATGTAACTCAAAGTTATGCAACCCCGATGCAAATAAAGAGAAATAGGAGGAGCATTTATCGGGGGTGAAATGACACCGTCTCGAATCTCGTAACGCGCCAACTTTTATTTCCAACTCTTTTTTATTCGTTCTCGAATAAATATTTTCACACGTGAAAAAAATCTTGGAAACCCTTCGTAAAAAACGTATTCTCGATAATCGCCCGTTTCCCATTCTCTCCCCTCCCCCCGATTAAAGATTTCCCCGGATCCTCGAAGAAAGAGACACAGACAGAAAGAGAGAGAGAGAGAGAAAATAAAAGCATCGATCAAGCATTCCGCTCGTTTCCGCGATTGTTAACGCAATTCCAACGAATCGTTATTACGCAAACA